ACCATGGTTTTGCCTTTTACAGAATGTCATATATTTTGAATTATACAGCACAAAGTGTTTTCAAATTGGTTTCTTCCACTTAGTAACAGACATTTAGGTCTCCTCCATGTCTTTTCATTGTTTCATAACTCATTCCTTTTCAGCACTGAATAATATTTCATTGTTGGGAGCTAACATAGTATATCCATTCACCTACTGAAAGGCAGTTTGGTGCTTTCAAGTTCCGGCAATTATGATAAAGCTGTTGTAAACATATTTGTGCAGGTTTTTCAGTGGACTTATGTTGTCAAACCATTTGGGTACATACCAAGTTGTGATGTTGTTGGGGTGTGTGGCTGCACACAAGCTGTCTTCTGATGTGGCTGTACCATTTGCAGCCCACAGTAGTGAATGGGTGTCCCCATGGCTGCACATCTTCACCAGCACCTAGATGTGTCACTCCGCTTTTTAAAACAGTTAAACAGAATTATGTGGCCAGGACTAGAGAACCAGAAAGTAAGTCAAAATGGAGTTTAAACCAAAAATAAAGTCACCTCCTGAGATGACATGAGGCAGGGTTTCTCATGTCCTTGTGTAGAACCACCACCAGGCTCTCCTTCTGCACAGGATACTATTAGGTTAGGTCTTTTATTTTCCCAGTCCTCTAAGAATTGGAAGTATTAAAGAAATGGGGACACAAAAAATATAAAACAAAAGGCACTTGCATTAGCCTGTGACAAATAAGTTAACAAACAAGTGTGTAACCCTGCACTCTTTGGAAACATACATGCTCATCAACCTGTCAGAACTGGTGTTTATAACAATGACCTTAAAACACTTGCTAAAAGAATGAAATATTATCCAAGATGCCACATCTATTAAAAATTGAGCACAAGTCCCTACCTTATAGGTTTGTTGTTGGAATTAAATGCAATATAACTATATGTAAAATACTTAGCACACTGTGTATTTCTTAGGAGTGCTAATAAATATTGGCACTATGGAAAGATGGTGATGGTGATGGTGACCATCAGGAGTTTAGACAACTGAAAGGAGAGGAAGTACAAAAGAAAGTGTATTGGAATTCCTCAGACAATTGTTGAGCTCCTACTGCATCCCAACGTGAATCCAAAGGGAAATGACGAGTAGTTCCTCTTCTTAGGAAAGTCTGTATCTAACATGTCACAGAGTAGAGTCTGATGGCTGTCTCAGCACATACATTTATAAAAGTGGTGTGATAACATAGCTGAGAGGGACGGTAACTTTACTGTGAGATAAGGAAAAGGTATAGTAAGGGTTGCAGCTAGCCTCAAAGGATTTTGCTTGTGGTATGAGGTAGGAATTTTTTTTTAAGATTTATTTATTTATACAAGAACCGAGGTACAAGCCAGATGTGTGAGAGGGTGAGAGGATTCACCAGAGACAGAGTGGGCAACAGAACAGGCAGACTGACTGAAATACACTGCTGAGGGGAGCAGTGGGTGAGACAGGAGGGGTCTGCCCACGCCATGTGGGTTGCTCCGAGGCTGGCGGAGATCAAATTGGCACTGCAGAGGCTGCGGACAGCTTCACAGAGCTGCGCTCAACCACCTGCACCACCAGGGAGGCCCTGAGGTAGGAATTTTAAGAAAGGACACTCAGGCAGAAGAAGACTTCAAAAAGAAGCATGGGGTCACAAAAATCACACATAGTGAAGCAGATAAAGGGCAAAATCAAAGAAATATATAGCCAAGAAATGGGCCAGAAAGTTCCCTGAATGCCTATTACCACCTTACCTAGTGTATCAAGGAGGCTGAGTTTTGTTTGAAAGGCGGCAGGTTGTTATTAAAGGCTTTAAGTTGGTATGCTATATGATAAATGTCTGCTTTCAATGAAATTCGCACTGAATGCAGGATAGAAAATGAACTTGAATGAGTGGAGAGTAGAGGCAGGGAGGCCAAGGAGAGGTCCTTGGGGTCAGAAGAAGCCCTGGGATTTGAGAGGAGATGCCAGGTAGACTTGATATGACTGAGTGGCTTAATAGAAGGGCTGCCAGGAGAGGGCACAGGGGGACTACGCAGAACAAAGTCAAGCATGACTCCGAGGCCCTAATTTGTGTGTCTGGCAACCCTAGGAAGGAACTTTTTATAAATCTGAGATTTATATTTTAATCTTCATGATTCCCTGGTGGCATGAAGAAAGCTGAATCTTTAATACCATTTCAATTCCAAGCTTACTTGATATTTTCTTACTCCACCCAGGAGTCCACCTCTTGAATTATACCATAAGACTAGAACCAAATGAATGCAATTTGTGTTTCTAAACGTTCCAAGTAGAGATAAACAAATGTATTCGCAAAGAACAAATTCCAAGCCAAAGTGACCAAATATCGTCTAGGGTCAGGCAAGTGAACGCGGCACCACCAGCCCCATATGGCTATTGAGCAGTTGATGTGTAGCTAGTCCTAGTTGAGATATTGTACCAAAATTAATTTCACCTATTTTTTCTTTCCTAATTAATTTCACCTACTTTGTCCTTTTTAACAAACTGCATGTTAAGGGCCACCCTGGTGGCAAAGGGGTTAAAGTCTCAGCGCTATCAAGCTATCACCAGCCATTGCAGCATGAGTTCAATCCCCAGCCACGGTGCTAACCCACATGGTGCAGCAGACCTCTCCTGTCTCACCTGCTGCTCCCCTCTGCACTGTATTTTGGTCCATCTGCCTATTCTGCTCCCCACTCTGTCTCTGGCGAATCCTCTCACCCACCCCCAACCTCTGGTCTTGTATGAATAAATAAATAACTCTTTGAAAAAAACAATATGTCAAAAAGCTCAACAAATACTCTATGCCTTATTCACAATGAACACTAGAAAAAATTAAACAATGTACAATTATATGTGTGACTTACTTTATATTTTTGTGAAGTGCTTGCCTAGGAAATTCAAGTTTTATATTGTCAATGTTTGCTAACTATAAGGCTGTATTTTGTGTTCTTGCTTTTCTTCCCATTACTGGGGAGGGTCTCACCACCTGATGTTTTCTAATATCTTATGCTGTGTCCTTATTCTCATTAAGGAGGAAGTTGTTACCACAACAACTGCCACAACACATTATATTTATTACACCCAGAGGGAGAGGTGTAAACAGACATCAATCTGTCATTCAGGTTTGTACATTTCTATTTTCTCATGTGTCTCTGGGCCTTCATTTGCAGAATAGAGCACTGGGAGTAGAAGCAGGACTTCTAATCACTGCCTGTGTCTCTGGCTTCTTTGGGTCTGTATAAGGAAAAGTATCCCACATCCACTCCAGAGGGATGCTGTGGACCGATAAGTTACAAAGTATTTCCAAGGTCATTCTTCCTGTACAGTATCAATCTAATGTCACATAGTAATAATATCTAATATCACCTACAATGCTAGAGAGAGGCAGGTGGGGCAAGGTGGTCTCCTCTGGTGGGTGTGAGTGAGGGGATGCAAAACGAAAAGTGGTCAGACAAGGAAAACAAAAAGTTGATGGATGTCAGCATGTGCTCCCCTATTAAACAATCCTTTTCAAAAACTGCTCTTATCGGCAACAAGACTCCCCAACTCCGGGAAGACTGGGAGCCCAGAATCCCATCTGCATGTGCTTCCCCACAACCCTTCATGTGCAAAAGCAAAAAGGTTGGAGTCTTCTGTTGATCATTGTGTTGCAGGATGTGTTAAGTGCCAGATGCATGTGTGCCATTTTAGTTTCTCAAAGAGCCTCTCAGTCCTGTGTCAACTCTGTGTTTTCACTTGCTTGCTTCTCCATATATGTCATTGGACAGAGATGACAAATGCAAAGAACGGCAAATTGGGACAGAGGGAGTAAAATGGGCAGTCTTATTACCTTCACCCCAGAAAGTGCTGGCTTTAAATCATCCACAAGGCTTGGCCTGCAGGACTTCAATATGGTTAACTGTAAGCTGGGTCACAGCCTTTGAGAGATGGTTTGCTAGAAAGCATGCAGCTTCTAGTTAGACATTATGCTTGTAAGAGATAGCTAGGGGAGGGCTTATTGGGATCAAGGGCAGGCCAAGGGGGTTGGCAAAGGTCCCTCAATCCCAAGTTACCCCTATGGTATTTCATGGAACTCTGAAATATGTTCAAAAGTAATAAATATTCTAGGTTTTAGATTTTGTTTGCACATGTGTTACAAATTATGTGAGGTTTTCAACTGGTGATGCACACTACCTTTTAAAAATCCATTCAGTGATTTCTCAAGTCTACCATCACCCTTAAAGAAATCAAGAAAACTGCTATAGTTACATCTTAAGATGTTACCCGTTGAAAAATTCCCGCTAACTCAGCATTGGCATTTAGGAAGTCCTCTACCCCAGAAGAATCAAATCAAACAGAAATCAAAACACACTGCAAAAATGTAGACCCTCCACCGAAGTTTCAGGAAGGCAAATTGTCACTGGTGTTTGAGTGACTCCCTCCCTGCCTCTCTCTCCACTCTGGGGGTGGGGCTTCTGGGGTGGGGGTCAGTGAGTGTGACTTTCTGATCAGAACTCACATAGCACTGTTTGAATTATATAATGGAGCTGCTGTGAGTCAGGTGACAGCTCACTGAGCAATTCCCTGCAGAAGCAGACAACAGCATGTTAAAAAGCTCAACAAATACTCTAATTAAAAAAAAAAAAAAAGCGACCAGGCAGTGAGTTCCAGACTCCAAGCTGCAGTCTTCTCTGAATTGTCTCCAGGCTAAAACAGCTGGGCAGGCTGGCTGCCTCTGAAGATGCTGGAGGCTGTGGAGGGCCAGGTGTAGGTCGGGGGTCTGGTTTGATCTCCGGGTTACTTTCTGTTTCATTTCAAAATGCTCCCTGCTTCTGAAACTCGCTGCCTCCAATGTCCAGTCAAACACAGCATTCCTTGGAGACTCCAGCCAGGTTTTTAAGAACTGGGGCTTTGTGAAGGTAAGAAGGATCTGTGTCTGGAGGCCTGGGCTGCCTCCTGGGGGAGTGGTCTGGAGCGGCTGGACCCCCGGAGGAGTCTCCCCACGTGTTCTGTGATCTGAATGAGGCTGGAGAAAACATCTGCAGAGCCGTTGTAAGGTTAGGAAAAGCATGAGATGGGCCCTTCCTGCCTAGATGGGTGGCCACCCCCTCCACAATGAGTGGAATTGATCCCAACTCCTGTTGGCTCCCTTCGCCTCCCCATTCCACTGCTTGTGGGAATTGGTCAGCAGTCAGGCAATTGGCAAGGGCTGGCCCGGACTGGGAAGGAAGGCGAAGGGGCTGCCTGGCACGGAAAGCTGCTTGGGCGTGCGGAGCATGTGTATTCGGAGCCCACTCTAAGCAGACTGTGGCTCGGGCAGAGAAAGCACAGTGATTGGCGAGCCAGTAAACAGACCGGAGAGGAGGGTACATGTGTGAGCAGAGAGCTTGGGGCAACCTCTAAGGTAGGCATTTGAGTCTCAAATAATTTAATTGCTTGTGTGTGTGTGTGTTTTGATTGGGTTTTGTATTGGTTTTATGTTTCGTTCAGCTCCCTTTTGGGAGCTGCCGATATCAATTGATTTATTTTTCTGATCTTCCGACCCGTTTCTAGGATGTCTTGGACGCACCTGTGTCAGTGGCCATGCCTGGATTTTAGGGATTGATGGGACCCAGCGGTGAATTCCAGAGCAGAAAGATTCACTTGCAAATCTCACTGCAATGGAGACTTGCTGGGAGTCCTGGATGCCTGCTGAGGCGTCAGGAAGTTTCTGGCTTAAAGAGACAGGAAAAGAAAAACCAAACCAGCAGTTGTTATTTCAGAGGGAGGTGGGTGCAGGGACAAGTTGTTGATGATGATAAGAAAGATGACTGAGAAAATAAAAGAATACATAAAGGAAGAATGAATTTGGTGGGATTCCATCTGGGGCATTTTGGGGTATATGACACAGAGATAAAAATCAATATGGAATTAAAAAATGCTATAACAGGATTCTTGTTATCACTAACTCTGAAAGAACCTGAGCAACTGGAAGACTTTAGCTTGGAAGAGTTAAATTTTTTTTTTTTTTTGGCCACATGAGGTGCTCTAAACAAAACGTGATGTTAGAAACAAATGTGCTTAGATAGATGCCAATAAAGATGTGTTTGAGTTTTTGCTGCCCCTTACCACCTTACCCCCAGTTTTGGGCAATTGTATGAGTCGAATATGTCTGATATAAGAACTGTACAGATGGTTCAATTATTGCAGTAAGAAGCTATTTGGATATCAGAATAAGAATGATTGGAAAGCAGTGATTTGTGAACATGCACAAGCCACATCTGGGAACTGAAAAGACGGTTGATCTCCAGTTCCTAGAGTTATCTCCCCCATGTCCTTTTCACCATCTCTTCTGATGCTCCACAAACAAAGCTAAACATTAACAACAAGCCAATGACATAGCATAGTGAGGTTTCTCATTAAAGCCTACACTTAAACTATAAGTAGCATAATATCATCAATATTCCCAATATAAGAGAACAGCTCACAGAGCCCCTTCTGTAGACCATGGCAGTCCCTCAAGAAAGCACAGCCCAAATAATTAATGTCAGCACAGAGAGGTTTGTTTGTTTGTTTGTTTGTTTTAATCTAGTTTTCCACCAGTTGAACCTTGCTAGGAACTTACACATGTCTGCCCTGTGAGAGTTAGATTTGTAAGGACAACCTCCAGACACTACAAGACCATCAGTGTCTTCCAGACCCCGGAAGGTAACACGATGTTTTCAGTAGTTTTAGTGCTGAGAGCACTGCCTTTCACCCTGATTCTCTGGTCATCTGCTTAAGTTGTGGTGCCCACATTTTCCACATCAAGAACCAGGACTTGTGGTCTTATGAAGGATTAGTATGTGTGAGGAACATTCTGAGAAATGCAGTTTGTATTGCCAGTTGGCCATTTGGTGTCCATTTCTGGGATATTTCAATAATTTATGAGATAACTTGTCAGAAGATGTGAAATAGTTTTAGTGAAAATAATAAAGATTGAAACAATATTTATGAAAAGAAAAAGATGTGAAGTAAGATAGCTTTTGAACACACAGCCCCGATAGAAACATAGATTCTTTGGCCAAAAATGATAATTTTTTAATTGTTCAGACCAACTTGGGTTTGCATTCTAATTCTGCCACCTCTTCAGGGAATGACATCAGGCAACTTTCTTGATCTTTCTAGTGCTCAGTTTTTTCATCTGTAAAAATTGGATAGTAAGAATATTTACTTCATAGTTTGTTTGGAAAACAAATAAAATAATGTATGAATAGAACAGTGCACAGTGCAGTGTGGAGTAGCTAGCACCTACTTCACAGCACCTACTGTGATTATTGTTACCACTTATGGTACTTAGCGACCACAAAATATTTGAAAAACGAGGTCATTTTTTCCCTTTAAATATGCCAGAGAAGAAAGAATATGTTGCATAATCTTAGATCAGCATTTGTGATCCTCAAAATGTTCTGGAATTAAGTCATTGCCTTGTCTATATCATGAGGCGTCACTGTCTTCATATTTTGCATAGAAGAGCCCTTTGAACTGGTTTAGGAACCACTGACTATCAGGGTAGCACCAGGAAGGGAATATTTGTCTCCAGACTCTCTGGGCCCTGGTCCCCGGGTCCCCCAGCTCCTGATGATTGACTCCACTAGTGGACCACAGCACAGATGGGTGGGGGCAACAAAGGCCTGATCTCACGAAACCCTCAAACTCCTTTCCATGGATTTTAGTGCAGCAGACTTGGATTTTCCTACCTCAGCCCTGCTATTATTTGTCACTGCTCTTTTCTCCTCCTAAACCTGCTGGATTCAGAGCCCTGAGGTGATCTCCCACTTGTGGCTGGCTCCTGAAGACAGATGAGTGGGTTCTAAGACTTCCCAGTGCCAAGCCCCTTACAGCACAACACAGAATCTGCTACACTCATCAAGCCCCCTAAAGATTGTGTTTTACTTTTTCTTTGCACTCTCCTAACAAGGAAATTTAGTGCATCCCATAAAGCAAATTCTCAACCATTTCTTATAAAGTATAATGTACAGCCTTATATCCAAAAACAAGAATGTCAAAAGATCTTTACTTTTACATTCCATGGGTATTCCTCTTCCTGTAAAACTCAGAATGCACAGTTGTAGAGATGGGCTAAGAGATTTCATAGGTGAAGCCTAGGTTTCTCTAGGAAAGAAACAGAATGAAAAATTCCCCTGGGATTGGTCATAAAGTTGGCAGGGTAGAGAGTGACATTTTCTAAGAAACCCACCACAAAGACAACATCAAGAGAAATGAAAAAATTCAACAGAATTACAGAAGAATAAATCACAAAATTTGAAAGCAATAGGGGAAATTCTGAAATGTATCCCAAGCTTGGAAATATTCTAATGCAAAGAATAAGGAAAAACAGGCAAAATTTGGGGAAAACAGCAGAAAGAGTGGAACTGAAAGACCTAATTATAAATTCAACCCAATCTCCACAGTAAATGGCTTAGTTGTATCATCACTTACAAAACGATGATAATAATGTCTACACTACTCCGAGGGCTACCAAGGGAAACAAATGTGACACTGTGTCAAAACTAAGATGACTGAGATGACACAGTCTCCTCAACTCTGCAGGGAGCTTAAACTCACCTGGGCTTATCAAGAAGTATTAGTAAAGATTTAGAATTAAAGAAAGTTTACCAAATTAAAGGGAAAAAAGAAGAAGAAATGTTCCCCCCAAAATAGGGGTTTCTTCTTAATACCAAATAGTCACTGGATTTTTTCATAGCTAATGAATAACAACTAACTTGTATTCTTTTGCTAGGTTTGCCTTAACAAAATACCACTGGCTGGGTGGCCTAGACAACAGAAATTTATTTTCCCACAGTTCTGGGAGCTGGAAGAGTCCAAGATAAAAATCCTATCAAAGTTGTAGATGGTTTATAGATAGCACCTCCTTGCCTTGTCTTCACAAGGCCTTGCCTCTGTGATTGTGCATCCCCGGTGTCTCTTCCATTTCCTTGTAAGGACACCAGCCCTGTGGGAGCAGGGCTGTGCTCACGTGTCCTCATTTAACCTTGATTGACTTTTTTTTTTTTTAAAGATTTATTTATTTATTTATTTATACATACAAGCACTGGGTACAGTCAGAAGCGCAGGAGGGTGAGAGAATTCACCAGAGCCAGAGCGGGGAGCAGAGCAGGCAGAAGGACTGAAGTATACTGCTGAGGGGAGCAGCAGGCGGCAGGAGAGGTCTGCGCGCCATGTGGGACCCTCCTCCAGTGGCCAGGGAGCAGCCGGGGGTCGAACCTGCGCTGCAGAGGCTGTGGGCAGCTTCGCAATCCAGCGCTCAACCGCTGCGCCACCGGGGAGGCCCTCCTTGATTGACTCTTTAAAGGCCTATCTCTAAAGGCTCAGTTACCAGTTCCAAAGTACTAGGGATTAAGGTTTTAAAATATGGATTTTGGGGAAAACACAACTCAGCCTATAATATCTATCAATTAATAAATATATCTAAAAGGAATTTATCCTAGATATAGGTCCATAAAGGCAAATGGTATCTCCATAAAAGGGAATGATCTCTCCAATTGCCATGGGGAGACCCCATGGAAGGTAGCTTGACAGATCTAGCCCAAAATTCCAGAAAAGCTTGGTTTTCTCATTATTTTAACTAAGAGAGAGGGTGTGGATCTTGTTTTCTTGACATCCAGTTGGGTGTTCTGTCAAAGAACTTGTAGATTTTCCTAGCAAGGTTGCACTCCACTGGGACAGGTATTCTTGGAGGATGGATTTAATATTGTTTGGCCTTAGGTGTTCCTCTGAGGTCAAATAGATAATGGTGTTTCTTTGACTCATTTCCCATTTTCTTTCACTATTCCTACTTCCTCTTCAGTATTTGACTGATCCTATCATCTAGGTTCCTGCCACATTCTGCAGGATCCTGCATACTTCTCACCATTGCTTCACAGTCGTCATTATGAACAACAGCTTTCAGTGACATGGTGACCTGAAATAAACAGATGTGCACACACATTCACACAGGGACATTTATTCTTGAAACAGATTTTGTGAGTAGAGTGGAAGATGATGTTTTAAGTGATATTTGTATGTGACTTTCTATCTAAATTTCAGATCTTTGATTTCAAAGAGGTAGACCCATCTCATGACTGAAATGTCCCCACTGGTATGGGAAACACAGGAGATCTGACACCTATTCTTAATTCATAGCCACAAGAAGGCGTGAAAAAGAAAGTGACACCAGAAGAAGAGCTATGCTCAGGTGCACAATCATAAGCCGATCCTGCTCACTGACTCCCTCATCACTCTTGCCCACTCACAGTTGCACCTTTAGCTAAGGATCTCTGTGGTCAGCAGAGCCCAACTCCCTACTAGCTGATGAGATCCAAATCCAAAGAGGAAAATGCACCAGAAGGGGAAATCATGGAAGTAAGGCACATACTCAACTTG